AAAGGCCTGTCCGATAACGCATAGGTCCGGCTGGGATGCCGAGCGTAGAGTTGCTCTCAGGTTTGATTGGCTTCCCCAAAATTCTTCGGCCCTGGTTGGTTCATCGTCCAGCCTATGAGAATGGACGGAGAATGTTGTCAACAGCATTCGGGTCATTTGGTCAGGTGGGTTTGTGTCTGTTAGAAACCTATGACGCAAAGATAAGTGTTTGTGTTCTCTCAGTGACTCTTGAAGAAATTATGTAAGGGCTCTAACATGATTTAGAAAATAGAATTTTCTGTTGTCACGTTGGATTTGTTTTGATTGTGGCTTTGGACTATTGTGATACGTAACCCTATGCTCAACATTTAAAAGTAAAGCAGAATTAAAACGTAAAGAGCCGAATTCATAGTGTGAGTGAAATATATTATACTCTATGTGAAAGTCTCTAGCTGATGTCTCTATAGTTTAAATATTATCTTATCCCTCTTCTTAATAAAGTATATTATATATGCAGAGTAGATAGGTTAATGATGTGGTATAATTTTATGACTTTGCTGTTTTTTCCACCACCTTCAAAGCTAATGACAGTAGAGCTGCATACTGATGTTTATAATGTCTCCAAAAATTCGGAGAGAGAGAGAGAAAAAAGAGAAACAATTCTGCACTCCCTTAATTACATTGTAAAATTCAGTAAGTTTTAATGTGGGTACAGTTGGTAACTAATAGCTAATATCGTGGGGGAAAAAGGGGAATATTTATATCTACATGGTAACACTTATAATGAATGCTAAATTACTGGCCTACTATAGAACATTTTGGAGGAAATAACCATCCCATACTAGCAAATTATTTATAAGTACATATAAAATGCAAAATGACTAATAAAACACTCACCCCTGTGAGCATATCGATGGCTCACTCCCACATGTCTCAGCCACTGAGACGGCTTGCGATCTTGGTGGAAAACTCAAGCTTGGCCTCTGATCCGAATGGCTTCGTCGGATGAAGGGTCGAGGTCCTTGACCAGCTACAGGAAACCTCCCACGACTCCCCCAAGAACGCAAGAGAAAGGAGACCCCAGAAGAGGTCCACGCTTGAGGGGGTCGAGGAATTGGACATGGATGGGCCTCAAACAAGGATGGCGATGCAGGGCAGAAGACTGAACGTGCGTTATTGATCTTCCGGACACTAGATAGATCTTCAGTGCTGTTCTCCCTTGACCATCTTTGTACTTTTGGTGAGGCTGGGGGAGATGGAGCTTTGAAAGGGTAGGAGGAGGAGTTCGAGTTTAAAATATTCTGCTTTGTGACAGGGGGGCTGGGGAGTCTCCCCTGAAACGCTGGCGGTGTGGGAAGTTTCCTGTTAACAGGGGGGCTGGCTGGAGGAGGTGAAGTAGGTTGCTTTTTGAAGCTTCGGGGACTGGGAAGTCTTCCATGTAGATTGCTTGGCGTAGAAGGTGTAGAGGGTAACATTCGCCCTCTATTCACAGGTGATGTGGCAAATGGTTGGCCTCTGACCACAGAATGAGGAGGCACTGTAGACACTACGGTGTTACATCCAGGCACTGAGAAGTCGCCACAATTTTGTATGTCTGCTGATTCTTCTGAACTGGCAGACGGAGTTGTTGATACATCAGCTTTTAACAATCTCTGTAAGACTGAAGATTGTCTTAGGTATAAGATCTTTTTGTCTTGTTGGTACAAGGAATCCTTTTCCTTCCTTGGGTCTGCCTCCAACTGGACTTCTGGTTGATTGAACTTTGACAGAGCAGATACATGTGGTTGGTCCGCTCTACAAGGGGAAATAACTTTAGAAGTTGGTTGCAGGCCTCCTTTACTTGGCAGCACCGTCACTGACCTAACTGAAGCCCTCAGTCGTTGCGATACTGCAGCCCTTTTTAATAAAGGTGAATTTACAGGTTTTGGCGCCCCTTCATCTGCTATGAAAGTTAAAAGACTTTGGGCACTTTCGAATGAAGTGTCCATTAATACTTCCAATGGAGGTGGAGGAAGACTCTCTAGATCTAAATCATTGTTTTTCTCAGATGGAGTAGAGTCAGGTCTACAGCTGGTTATCCTACTACTGAGCACGGCTTCCACATTCCCTAAACCAGGTAACACAGGAACGCCACACTTCCGTACTCCTTTTAGGGGCCCCACAATTTTAAGATCTTCTAGATCCTCTATTCCTTGGCTAAATGTATCGATCAGTCTTTTGACTGAGTTCCTGCCTCTGTACAGCCCTGAAGATGGTCGTGGTGATGCAGGAGGGCTGGGAGGTGGGGTCGCTTTTATTGGGCCCTTGGCTGCTTTCTTAACCGTAGGTTTATCCTTTTCCACATCACTAGCTGCCTCCTGTTTTTTACTTTTACAACTTGAAACGCCTATTTGGTCATTGGGTGGTTGGGGATTGCTGTTCTTCTGTAGTGAGGGATGCTTGCGATGTACTGCTGGAGATTGTGCTGGTGAGGTTCCTTGATTTTGTTTCACTGGAGCTGTCTTCATATTCCCACCTGCCTTGCTTTTACTCATCCTTTGTAACCTCACGTTTAAATCCTTTTGGGTCCTCTCTAGTTCAAGAAGAGTAGGATCTTCACCTTTGCTCCGCAATGATTCTGCTGACTGGGAACGTCGCTCTCGAGGCACTGCCGTCTTTTTTACTACCGCCTTCCGGATAGGTGCTGTTGTTTGAGGTCTCCTTGGAGAGCGTTCCTCCTCCTCCATCCACTGGCGTCTACTTGCTTTTGGGCAGCCACCTGCCTTTGTTTTAGCACTAGCATTCTGTGATGGGACGAACTGTATCCTTCCACTAATTGCCTTTTTCATTTTAAGAGTCATTTCTACATTCTGAGGATTCTCCATGCGCTTTGGAGGCAGGCGGCGAGGACATTGTTGTTCACGGTCTACAGTTGAAGAATTTGATTGCTTTCTAATCCCTACATCTTCAGTGCCCCTGTTCAGTTCCTCCTCCTCCTCATCATAGTCTTCTTCCTCCCCATAATCTAAGGAAACTGATCCTAGCACTGAGTCTCTTTGGTAATTGTCCAATATAGTACATGTGGAACCTAATGAGTTGAGTGAGGTGAGGGAAACACTTGAACTTATTTGATTTGTATACTTTTGTTTTGATACTCCTGGCCTAATGTCCGTGGAATTGTATCCAATGGAACTGACAGGTGTAGTTCTATTTGTCCCTGTGGACACACAACTCTCTCGTCTAAGGCGTCTTTCAGACCCCGCAAGGGATTCACTCTCAGCTCCAATTCCACTGTCCTCACTAAAGAGAGCCGAATCCTCTGGTCCGGGCTTACGCAGAGAGGCCATTTCAATACAAGATAAGAGTCGCATTAGCCTAGCCTCCACTGCACGTTTGACTTTCATTTTCTCCTCTAAAAGCTCTGAGACAGAGGAAAAGTATCCCACTGCCTCCTCCAATGCACACTCCCCAATTCTGGCCACAGTCTGGCTCACATTTCGCATTCTCTGTGTGGTGTACTGAAGCAGCTGCTGCAACAAATCTGGTGGGGGCTCAATATTAGCAGAGGCAGACTTCAAATGTGGAGAAGATGAGAGGTTTTCAATTTGACTTGGCCAGGCAAGATGTTCTCCATTTTCTTTTAAAAGTTTTTCTCCCTCATCTGCCATCTCTTCCAGTCCCTGAATCATTTCCTCGTAGCGTAGAGCCGTGAAAGCAACCATGGTCTGCACAGACACCTGTGTTTGGGTCGCTTGTTCCAAAAGTCCCAGTAGAAAGTCATATTTGTTTATGCTTGGATTCAAAAAGGCATAAGCAGCTTGGTGAGCTTTAACCAAAGGTTCAGGGAAGTCCACTTTCTCTTCTGCCGGTTTCTGTTTGTCCTTGTCTTTCTTTTTAAGCCCCTTATTACCTCTAGTAATTCTTTTGGCTTTTCTGCCAGGCTTCTTTTCTGTTGCCGCCTTCATGTCAGAATTTTTGTCTTTTCTTTTTGAAACTGCATTGTTGTCATTTCCTTGACTCCCAAGTGTACCCATGTGTCCTGCTTCAGGGTCTAGCTCAGTTACATTTTCCTGTGGTGTCGAATGAGCCTCTTTCTGAAGTACATCTCTTTGTCCAGCAGCCTTTCTCTCCGTTGTATCCCATTCCGTTGATCTCATCAAATTGCGATCCTCAACAACTTCAAAATGAGAATCCCTGATGCTCCCTTGAGGTGCAGGGGGAAGCATTCTCTCCTTACCCGTGGTACCCAGAGTCCCAAAATGGTTACCTTTGGATGGTGAGCAACCCATTTTGGAGGTTTTCAAATAAAGGCTGATTGCTTTGTCTACTCTGAGACCCTAGAAGTGTGAATGACAGCCACCCGCTGTATCTGTCATTTTTGGATGGCTTAGGTTGTCTGATGACATCCTTCCCCACAAGAATGCTGCCAAATGCTGCCAAAAAAAAAACTTGATACATCCATTTTAAAATTATTTCTCACAAAATAAATCCACCGACCGATGCTCATGTTTAGAAAAACGGCCCTTGTAGCGTGCTCTGAAACACATCCCTCTCTACCTCACACAAGACCAGCAGCTGAAAGGATTAGTGAGGCTTTCAGTGAACTCCTCAGCATGCGCATATGTCACGCACATGTCAAGCATATACAACTCACCTACTTGTAAGACTATAAGCTCATTTGTGTAAGGAGAGCTTGCCTCAGGTAGCTTTTTATAGCCAGCAAAACAATATCTCCTTATTTTACCCCTTATTTACTGTAGCTAAACAACTGCTTTCTGCTATTAAAGTAGTAGTTTCACGGTTCCATGACCTGTCTGTCTTGTTCCTCTATACGATACTCGCCTCAGGCTGCAATTTACTGAAATATTGACTTCTAAATCACTCAAACTAGGTGTTACTCATACAAATTAATGCACTTATTGAAGAGGCTATGGTTTAAAAAGTCAAACTTAACAGACCTGTTAAAATGTCAATGTTATGTTATTTTAATGTTATTTTAATAATGTTTAGAATATTAATGTTCTATCCATTATTGAATCGTCATCTGTATTAGTCCTTGTCTAGCATTGGATCCAGCGCGGGGCCGCGTCATTGCTTGACAGGGAGCGCCCTGATTGGTCGTCGGTCCCCCGCGTGCAGGCGAGCTGTTGAGGGGTTGGCGCTGTGCCGGTGCGCGTGCTGTAAAGCGCCGTCACCTCGCGCATTAAGTGGGCACCGCTTTATTCGCGGTTTCACTTAAAAAGTAAAACATTTTAGCCGTCACTGCATCAGATACTGGGTGCTGTCACCAGTGCGGGTGTTAGTAACGTAAAATCTGATTGGTCGTCGGTCCCCCGCGTGCAGGCGAGCTGTTGAGGGGTTGGCGCTGTGCCGGTGCGCGTGCTGTAAAGCGCCGTCACCTCGCGCATTAAGTGGGCACCGCTTTATTCGCGGTTTCATTTAAAAAGTAAAACATTTTAGCCGTCACTGCATCAGATACTGGGTGCTGTCACCAGTGCGGGTGTTAGTAACGTAAAATCTGTTCAGTTTTCAACTTTTTTTCAACAATTTTCTTCACAGCTCAACTTCACTGAAGGCAGAGGAGGACTCTGTTGACGGACGTTGTTAGCGTTAAGGTTGACTTTACTTTTAATACTTTTGTCGTACAAAACTAACGTTAGTTTGGGAAATAACGTCACACAACGAAATGTTAAAATTTAACGCTAACTCCACGCGAGCTCCAATCCCTCGGCTATTCTGCTAGCTCAGTGCTAACGTTAGCTTAGTTTACCAACATTAACTAGGTTGACATTGAGATTAATTCGGTTGACGTCAGCCACTGGCGTAAACTAGTTTGACACGTTGTGTATGCTGAAGCCGTAATAGAAAGGGATCTGATTGGCGGGTTGCAGCTCGGAATTTAACGTTATTTTCTGCCACTTCGTAACTTGTCATCCATTTCCTCAAGAACTCACCGTCACTCCCCGTCAGCTCAGCATGATGAAGCTCACACGCGGCCGGTGCCAGGCTTCTCCCCCGGTCACTGTTGGGGTGAAACCCGGCAGCTCGCACTCCCTCCAGACCAGGAGAGGTCTCCGGCCCAGAAGAGCCAACCGCCAAGACGCGAAGAGCCAGGCGGGCCCGCGTCGGGAGGAGATGTTCCGGGCCCAAAAGACCATGCCCCCAACCATTGTCATCCAGCGGCAGGAGATGTCCTCTTTCTTCAGACTTCTGGGTATGAATGCGCCAGTAAAATGTTAAGTTCAATGGCATTCAAGGGATCGCTGCTACTTTTCAACTAGAAACGTTCTAATTATTGTGTTTGGTTACAGACGATGACGTGATCCATGACTTTCTGTGGATGGACTATTGTTGTAAATTGACTGACAAGGTAAATTGCCAAATAATTGGCACATTTGGAGCATTAAAAGCTGCTTACAAACAACAACTTTTCTTCCAAATTCACAGTACCTTCTGGCTATGACCTTTGTGTACTTCAAACGGGCCTGCTTCACTATCGCCCAATACACCAGGAAGAATTTTTTCATCGCACTGTAGGTTTTCAAGGAAATAACATACTGAAAGATGACCCTCTGTTTGCCACCGCTCGGTAAGCCGTGACGTTTGTGCTCCGTCGCCAGGTATCTTGCAAACACCATGGAGGAGGACGAAGAGGAGGGCAAGTATGAGATTTTTCCATGGGCGCTTGGGAAGCACTGGAGGAAGCAGTTTCCCCGCTTCCTCAAGCAGCGAGACATGTTTTGGGCTCGCGTCGAGTACCGAGCTGCTGTCAGCAGGCGCTGCTGTGAAGAGGTACGCGCCAGTGTCATCGCCCGAGGGAAAAGACAAAAGTTGTTACTCCGGGACTCTTTTCAAGCGTCTAGTTTTTGATGCACACTGCAGTTTTTATGGTCATCTCTGTTGTTTTCCTGATGGGGCTGTACTTTCTTTTTCTTTCCAGGTGATGGACATTGTGCCGTCTCACCTAGCTTGGCAGCGTGAGCGGTCAGAGCACCACAGCGGCGCCCAGCGGCAGTACGGGGAGCGGGACCACACCCGCATCCCCCGCGGGCCCTTTGCCTCCCCGGTCCCCTGTTCCCTCTGCAAACGTGGCGCTGCGTCGGATCAGGGTCCGGGCTCTGCAGCTTCTCCCTCCAGAGGCTCTTCGAACACAAACCACGCCTTTCCCCAACCGTTCAACTTCGCACTGAGCTTGGAGGTCACCCCGCCCAGGGCTGCAGCCTGTCTCAGGAGGGCGGCGGAGGCTAAATACCAGACGCACCCTTCCGTCTGTTGTGGTAAGAAGGTTTCCCAGTAGGCTTCCCAAAAGGCCGGGATGATTGTAAAATCCATCTCGGTAACTTTGAACTAAAAGATTTTCAAATGAACTAGTAACTTCTACCCACTTGTAATGTGAATAACCTGCAGGAGGCGGCGCCAAAAACGTCATGTTTTTGATGTTTCATATTTTAATTAAGGGTGTGTATGTTTGCCACACACTTATTTATAGTAGCTAAATATGACAAATGTACATTATCAATGCACATTGATGAAATACTCCCTGCTGGATATTAGGTTAAACGTGTTAATATTATAGTCTAAACGGCTGCCTCGGGTCGTAGCAGCTGTATTGATTCTAAAGCCGTCTTTGTTAAACTGAATTACTCTGTCTGGATTGTGTATTGATGTGATTCATCTGTATTGCACCTTGGAGCACGGTGACAAAGTGATCGACAGCATGTCCTGTCATACCGACTTCTCTTTATTGCCCCTACACATTTTTATTGTAGTTATTAAATAACAACAGTTAATTGTCTTCCCAAGTCAGAAGACAAGAAGATTTATATGAAAGTCCGAAGAACACCTTTCGTGGATAATTTATACAACTAATTGTATATGTATATGTGTATATGTCAACAGTGTTTAATAAAGGACAGGATTATCTTGTGTGTTGAATTTAGATTTAAGCTTCTGCTACCTGGATCAAATATCTCCATAAGATATTTCCTGTTCTAAAGTTCTTTAAGTTCTAAACTCCAGTTTGTCTCCTCAGGGGAAGAGTCGCCATGCGGGTCCACGTACGACCCGTCCATGGACTGGATGTGTGAGTAGAGCGCCAAGCCGCTTTGTGTCACCGTCTCCTTTCACTTTTACTCTAAAGTAAAGGTCTGACAACTTGCTCCATTTTTTTGGTTATTGACTGCTTTTTAAATAAGAACGTGGAACCGACTCAACAGAACCGGTGTGAATAAAGTTAAGAAAAAGTTGTGTGGCGTGTTTAGAATGGGCTCCTCTTTCTATGTCCCCCATTTCTCCAATATTGTTGTAACCTGCACTGAGTTATTTATTTATATATTTATTTATTTATGTACTGAAGCACCTGTGGGATATTTATTTTTTCACCACTTATGTCAAATGAAATGACAAGCTGGACGAATCAATGTTCAGCCACTCATTCTTGTTAACGTTGTCTGTCACATGCTGGGATTGTGTTTTTAGTGTTGCCCATGTGCCTGTTTCATGATCCAATGCTGCCTCTTGAGTTTTAAATAAAGGAGTTAAAATTGGTCTTTTTGACAGCTTTTTTTTACCCACTTCACTCAAGTTTCAAAGTACACCTTTTTGTTCTAAACATAATTACTGTATATATCATGTGTCTAGTGCATCATGCCCTATTTAAAAAAAACACCTTCACTAAATGCCCTGCTCAGGATTTTAGACAGTGAAATCGAATCAAGATACTCCACAATAAACATTTTCCCCCTTTTTTATTCTCTGGATAATTTACAGCAATTGTGTCCTCCCGGGGTTCCTTCTGAGCAGGATGGTTACCGCACACACTTCCTCAGTTTCACCAGGAACGCTGAAAAAGGGAAAGGCAGAAGATGAGCGCTTGTATACGTGGGCACCGCTGTCGGTGGGGCCTGGAGATGACTTCTCTGACCTGTGTGGCTCATCTGTGCGGGGTGAGGTCTGGCTAAATAGGGAATGCTCCCGAAGGCCGGCTGTTCCTCTTTGCTCGTCTCCTCTGAAATGTGATGGTGAAACCTCATTAAAAATCACAACATTTGACCTACAAGGCGCTGGTCGCGTGGCTTTTAAATCACCTGCGTTGGCCTCCTCCCCCTGGTCTCGGCCCAGGGTGGGATCCCTCCTGACGCAGTGCCTCCCGTCCTTTTGGAGGGCCGGCGCCACCAGCCAGTCCCTGATGGGAACCTCCACGATGCGTTCGCACAGCAGCGGCAACGGCAGACACCGAAGCCCCTCCAGCAGGTCGATGACCTGTGTTATGCTGTGATACACGGAGGTCGAAGGGGCGGTTAGAAGGCCTCAGCTCTTAAAATCATTCTTTGGGGCAATCAAAATGTTTATTTTGCACATTTAAATTAAGACACATCCCTCTTTAAAAAGAACAGCAAAATCCCCAATTAACAATTATCTTGTTTAACATGTGCTAACAAAGAAACGGTGTTCCAATAAGGGTGATTTATTTCTTGACTGAGGAGCAGTAACCTCAAGGCGGGGGCTGCAACCTGTCACTTTTTATGACTGAATGAAATAAAGGAGACAGAGGAGTTTCATGGTCATTGGTGAATTTTAGGGGTACAAGATGGGCAGATCTCACCACATCTGGCTAGCTGTGTCTCCACAGCCTTTATCCTAAGCTATTGAGCGGACAAATGTGTGGGTCTCATTCTTCTCTGCAAGAAAGCAGCCTGGCAGATTTCCTCTTTTATGTCTACTGCTTCACAGTGCAAAGTCTCTGCTTTTTTCCAGGGCTCAATGTCTGCCGACCCCTCTTCTCGGGGCGGGGGTGCGGCCTTTCAAAGGTGGAGATGTACACACTTGGCGAGGTAGACCGCACACACGGCCCCGGGGTGCAGGTGCGGAACCACGGTGGGTAGAACCAGCTGAGGGTAAGGCAGGTCGAGAGCCACCTGCAATGGAGGAGCACAGCAGGAGTAGCAAAGAAAGTACAGAAATAAATGAATACACGTGATGAGGTTGACACTGAGGATGACACTGACCGCGTGGAATCCATGAGCGGCGAGGAGCGGCGAGGCCTCGCAGAGGTCACCTGTGTGAAAGCGGACGTTGTCGGGCCACTCCTCGCCTCGCCGCACGCTCCACGACGCCCTCCAGCGCTTGTAGTTCAGCACTGACCTCTTGTGGTGGTCCTCCCTGACCTCCACGCTCAGGACGCTTCCCTTACAGCCGACTGGGGGGGGGCAACGGCGAGGGGTTGTCAATGAGGATCGTTAGTGACGATAAATGAGGATCAGCGAGACAACAGGTCCACACCTGCTCTGGACAGGAACAGAGACATGGCCCCGGACCCCGATCCCGACTCCAGCACGCAGTCTCCCTCCGTGACGTCCATCATCATGAGCATGGCGCTGGCATCCTGGGAACGAGAGCGACCGCAAATGATTAGAAAGAGCCAACGGGAACTCAAACCGTCAACAGGCGGGACCCCACCCTGCACCTTCGGGTAGGCGATGGCCGGGCCCCTCCTCATGTACAGCACGTAGTCCTCCAGGCTGGCCCGGCGCACGAGGATGCTGACGCCCCTGCTCGTCTTCACGAAGCTGCCCGCGGGCCGCCCGGCCACGTCGTCGTGCGGGATCACCCCCCAGCTGCTCCCCAGGCGCGCCCCGGTCTGAAGCTCAAACATCTTCCTGAACTCCACGCGGCCCTTCCTGCGATGCTCGGCGACGAGCAGCTCCCCGGGGGCGAGCGGCGGCCACGCGCTCGTCACCACGGCCGCGTCTGATGCGCGCGGGCTCTCGGGGTCATCTTCAGGGGTTGCCCCGCTTTCCTCCCCTTGCGTGCCCGACAGCCGGACGTTCACGTCTTCCTCCGGGTCCAGGTGGTCGCGCTCCCTCAGCTGGAGCACCTCGGGGCTCAGGGCTTCCTGGGCCAGCAGGCTGCTGATCCTCTCCAGGGGGGACAGGGGTCGTCTCCCTCTGGACAGCAGTGCTGACCCGGATGCGAGCCCAGTACTTGGGGGCGAGTCCGAGCTGTCTCCCTGGCTCGCGTTACACTTAACGGAACAGGTTGAAAACGCGATTGTGTCCTTACATCGGAGACGTCTTTGACAGGACGTGCCGATCTTCAGCAGTCTATGCACGCGCGCCATTCCCGCTGAGGGCATCTGCGCAGCCATTATGTCAAATCATAGTAACAGAGCTCAAAGCAAAAACTCATCCAGCGAAAATATAAATATAAATATACGGATGAAAATTATAGGCGTAATTGTGAAATATAATAAGAACGACTGGTAAATGATGAAGCCTGACTGAAAGTGCACTCACTCAATTCACGATTCTTCTTTTCTGTTTTACAGCCAGTATTTACAGACCAAAGAGGTCACCATGCTGGAAAAAACACATGGGGCACGTCATCACTAAGCGACGGGAGTAGTAATACACGTCTACCAGCAGGGGCACTGTTGGAACTTTTGAAACCCCTCTGTGAAGTCCGTGAATACTCTCATATTTTATGTCATGAAGCGTGCTGTCCTATACTGCAACTGTAAATCTGTCAGAGGATCGTCGTAATTTGCAGTAATATGATGAAGATCCACAGTAAACTGGGCCAAAATAGATTGGTAATTGTTTATTTTTGATGAGAAAGAAAATAAATATCTTTGATTTCATGCAATATACAAATTCCTCACACTAAGATTACGATACTATCTTGGGTTACGTAGATGCCAATCCACACAGTGATTTGCAATAGATGAATGTAGTGAGGGTTATTAGTCAAAACCTCATAATGATACCCAACATGACATAGAAGAGAAGAGAAGCATTCTTGAGTGTATGATTTTAAGGGTATTTTGGACTTGAGTTATAGTGTTAGTTTTAATATTGACTTATTTTCCATTGAAAACAATAAAAATGCATCGATTGTTTGTAAAGAGTGATATTTACTAGAACAAGATGAAATCTGTCACTCTTGAACATTTTAAGCAGGAAGTTGTTGCTGTTATTTAGTAAAGTATGCGAAGGAAGGAACCGATAATTATTCTAAACCAGACATATATTAAGTGTTTTGGAAAACAAAGACATGTTTTTTTCCCGTTCGTTAACCTGTTACGAGGACACATCAAGTCAACATGCATCCAAACGACTTCTTTGCCTAAAAGGGGGCGGTCCTTTCCCTCGCGCTCTAGTGCGCATGTGCGCAGAGGTCCACACGTGGTTGGTACTGTGTAAACCACGCAGGCAGACGCAGGCAGCGGCTCAGAAATGGCGGCCGAAACTAGCAGCTCCTCGCTGCAGCTACCCTGCGTTTTTTCACCACAATCTCGACAGTACCTGGCGTTGTGTGCCCAGGATGGCAGACTTCGTATTTGGAACACAGATAGTAAAACACTTCACCAAGAATACGTGCCTTCTGCCCATTTGAGTGCCACTTGCATCTGCATAGCCTGGGGACCATGCCGGACAGTCAAGGTACGTGAGGCTAGTTAGCGAGGCCGAGCAATGCTGGCCGGGACTTTTCCCCAACAGAAGGGCGCACAATAACGACAGGAACGTGTCGATATTGTTTAAGGAAATCACACGACGGGAAGCCTGAAACCTCAGCGGCGCGTTACTGCGAAACGTTTCCATGTGGCCGACACGGACCCGGTGACGTTGGAGCAGCCACGCTAGCAGCTAGCTAACAGCTACGCAAGACGCACATGTTAGTCCCGCATGGTGGCGAAGAAAACCCGGACAGTGTATAAATGCACTAGTTCGGCGTCAAATAACCAACCGTTATGCGTACCGCGCGTATGTAAGTCCGTCCAACGATCTTTGACTGTATTTAGCGCGCTAGCACGTTTAATACAGTTATTTAAGTTAGCAATAGCCTACCAAGGCTTCCGAAGCGTGTGCCACCATGACACCTCTGCATGCTGAGGCTGAAAAGTTTTACCGTCTGAAGTCGATTAGAAAACAGTTTCACACGAGTGTCATTTCCAACAGAAATGTAAACATCTTATCGCACTACTGTGTTGATTTCAACGTGTTGTGTCGTGGGTGTTTTATTGTCCACAGCTCGTAAGCACCTCATTTTCAGCAGCAGTGATTTAAAGTTAAAGGAAGCTTTGTGAATTGTTTTAGTAGTTATCATGAGGTGTTTGGGTTTTAAATGTGTGTGATGTTTTTTTCTTTCATCGTATAAATAGCCCAAAGTACACTAAACAGGAATCCTAATCTCAATGGTGAACTGGTTTACATCTCTAATGTGCTGTTTTCAGGAGGGGCCTCAGAGGAAGAAGAGGAAATCGGAGGTGGTGCTGGGGGAGGAGAAGGCAGACCTGTTGGCGATGGGCACAGCAGCAGGCAGTGTCCTCATTTACAGTACAGTGAAGGGAGTCCTGCACTGCACGCTGGTGAGTCCTGCACTCGCATCCCGACTTAACGGTGCTATATTTTACAAACTTGTATGTGAAAACCACTTGCTTCTGTCAAGGTACTAGGTTCCTGTTTTCTGCTTGAATATCAATCGGTTTCCTGTCTCTTCCAGGATGGAGGCCACAGCGGAGGGGTTAATTGTGTCCAGTGGCACCCTAAAGACAGTTTATTATACAGTGGTTCCGATGATACATACATCATAGAGTGGGACCTGCAGACGGGCAAGGCGAGAAGGTCAGTATCTAGTTTTGTGTTCACACTACAGCCAACGTAGACAAAATTGGATTTTATTATCTCATATTTGAGTGTTCTCCAAATGACCTAAATCAAGAAACTGCCCGTCTGGAAAGTTAAATCAGAATTTTTATGTTCCATCAGCCGCGCCACCCCTCCATATGGTTTTTTTTTTTTATGAGTTTGACACCCCCACTCTAGACCGACTTTAGCCACAATTCTGTGGGAGTTGATCATTCATGGTATAGTCCCACCACCTGTGGGTCTGGCTCTGCAATACCTGTGCAGCCCCTGACAGGTGTAGCAGCCATTTCTCAGTGCATGGCATTTTGTCTTTTCTTTTTATGTCTCTCACAATTTACTTTGACAATATATCAATTTCAAATTAAGTACAGACCCGGATGAACCCCAAAGGGGTTTCTTTTCCAACCCTTATGTGACTGACAGCGTTTGCCTGAACTTTTCGTGCATGCAATAAACTGGATAAATGTGACGTAGCGATGCGCAGCTGTAAACTCTTTAATCTGTCCAACCCACCTGGGGCTCTGCTACTATCATGTGAGAGATCTGTTCATCACTAACACAGGCCAGCAATAAAAGTTTTCGTTTTGGCTTTAAATCGATAGCAAGACTTCGAGGTGAGCAGCAACTTAACAATAGTCTTTTTTTGATCTAAAACGGCACTGCTGATTTCACTTCCTGTCAGTGTCAACATTAATGGAAAATTAAGGTTTTTATTAAATCATCCGCTCACTCACTAACGGTTCCAGTATTTTATGCCGCACTAATTTTCTTAAGTCGTCTAATAAAAAGTGTTTTTATTGATCCCGAGGGAAATTTGCGCATCCAGTGACTTGTTCTGTAACATCAAATGCACTGATACACACAAGAATAATCAATAAAAACCTATTACGGTAAACAAAGCACTACAGAGAAGTGTCAAATTGAAGTGTGCCAAATAAGAACAAGTGCCTTAAAACACTAACTTGATACTGTCTCAAGTCAATTCTATTCTCAAAGGGCTGTTTTCACACTTCAGATGCTTTACTCTGTTCAACTCCTCGTTCCGGTGTCTTTCACTGTGGATACTTAGTACTGCACCCAGAATCCCTCTAACTCTTGTTTTAGGCCGCCACAGCCAACCCATTTATAAAAACGTCCTTCAGTCTGATGTTTCTGTGCTTTTTTTCTGCTGTTGTGATGCGGCGTGCAGCTGATGCTGAGCCTTGGGTTTGGATCCGCCCAGCAGAAAAGAAACGGGCAGCTAATAACTATTAGAGAACTGTCAAGCCTTCATTCCTCATCCACGGAGGCAGATGGGTTTCTGCTGTGTGAATTATACCAGCGGGTCAAACAAGATACAAAGGACTTTTATTTTTCAACCCACCACCGAGAAAATCATTTTAAACCGCTTCAAATCAAATTCTAAATTGGCCTGGCCATCGCCTACCCGAAGGTGCAGGGTGGTGTCCCGCCTGTTGTACATTTTTTTATCAAGACAAACTATTCAAATACTAAATACAACGATTTTAATGGATTAAGCACATCAAAGCAAACATTCTTTGACATGTTAACTGCTGAGAGCTGAAGTTAAAATAATTTCTTTAATATTTATGTTGACCTCGCCTAAACCTTTTTTCTTTTTTTCTTGTTACTCATCACCAATACCCACTAACTGAACTGCCGTAACACATAATGTAAGTGAATAAGTCTTTAAGGGACCAAAGGCCCCAAGAGTCACGTCTTTGTGTATGGAAGTCGTTGGGAAGTAAATAAATAAAAACCCTCTCCCTCCATGAATCGGAGGCTATCCCGCGTCCTTGTAGTCCACCAATGGCGGCTTGTATAAGTGGTCATATTTCTGTATTTCTTCCAACAAAAGCTCCAATCAATCTGATTCATTCTCTCTTCAAAAATCTTCCTTTTTTAAAATAGGGGTATTGTGCTATGAAACCGGAAATGTGAGACTCCGTAAAGGATGCAGTCAGCAGACCAATCACAGCCATGTGGGCTGCGTGAGGGTTGCAGAGCTTTTGACGCTAGTCTAGAAAAATTAGTCGACGTACGCAAGAAGGGGTAAAAAAGCCCGCCTGGGGCTCTTGCGTGTCCTTGCGCGCAACCATAAACTAGGCTTAAGCGGGAAAATAAATGACTGGCCTGGTCACTGTATTTCAGCAAAGACGTTGGTGATTTAGCGGCGGCACAGTCTGCACAAAGTCCCCATCTATCCTGGCTGACGCCAGTTTTGTGCTCCCCAAACTGGTTTTGCACAATCGTCCTAAACTAATCTGAATGGCTATTTGGATCTGTCAATAAACAAGAAGAAAAATCGGGCCGTGAAAATGCAGTTGGAAGAGCCACAGTCTATTTGTTTCCGCAGTAAGTGGAAGGCGGACCGTGCAGCAGTGACCAGTCTGTGTGTGAGCCCAGACGGCAAACTGCTGCTCTCAGCTGGTCATATAATCAAGATGTGGGACTTGGACACCAAGGAGGTTTACAGGGTGAGTGCTGTCTCATTTGTTTGTGCATTAATCAGACGGGAGGGGCACTATTCTGAGGCTTCATACAAGCCCGGGTCATTGGTAGTGAAAAGCGCAACGGTTATAAACCAGCCAAACATTGAGTGTTTTTCAGCTGAACTGATTCCCGTTTTGTCCTCGTCCCCGCCGCAGAAGTTCACAGGCCACTCCACGGCCGTGACAACCCTGCGCTTTGCCACCACGCGACCACCCGACAGCAACGGCCTTTACTTCCTGTCCGGCGCGGCACACGACCGGCTGCTCAGTGTCTGGTGAGTGTTTTTAACACCTACAGCCCGTCCGGGACGCTGTGTCGCCGGTCTTCCTGTGCAAATGTACCGCTGCTTCTTTCTCTCTGAACTGACACGGAGGCATCTCCCCCGCAGGCAAGTACGAGAAGACGGAAAGGACAAGAACTCTGTGGTGTCCTTCACGCTGACCGACGAGCCTCAGCACATCGACCTTGTCGCGTCAAACAATAAGGAAGAGGTCAGAGTGGTCATTCAGTCCTCAGATTACATGTATTTGACAGACGTCTTAATGTGTACAGTAAAGCGATAAGGATTTGAGCTCTGTGTTCCTCCCTGTGCTTTGTTTACATTTTATGCAAATGTTTGTTCCACACAGGCGGTGAGGCTGGCGGTGGTGTGTAAGGATGGCCAGCTACATCTCTTCGAGCACTTTTTAAATGGGTAAGCACGGGTCATGCGATAATTTTCTTATTCATAGGATGTTGTCGGGTTTTTTCTATTCTACTCAAGGTATAATAATTATCCTAAAACCAAAGATTTGGCTCAAGCGAAGCTTCTCGTGTTTTGGCTGCTGTATTTAGAGGCCGAATGACTGGAGGCTAAAAGTCCTTTTTCATATTTGATCACGGTTTGCCCTCTAACGGCTGTCGGGGGACATTGCACTTCCACCAGATGCCACTGATGACTTCACTCCTCTGAAGCATTTCTTAATGTTGATCCCATCTG